ATGATCAGCCCCCACACGGTCTGCTGATTGCTGTAGCAGCCCTCCTCCGCGTCCTTGAGCTTGTTAATGGCCTTCTCCCCCAAGAGTCGCGTCACTGCCCACTCATACACCTCACTGGACACCCATGGTCTCAGCCCGATGACCGGTTCAACCAACACCATGTCATCGACGAGGATCTTGCCACAAAAATGCAACTCCCCGTCCCTCCTGCTCTCGACTGGACGAAGATTCCGGTGCACCTCCTCTGTGGCCCGCCCCCATGCTGTCCATTCGCCGGGTGAACCCGAGAATCCAAAGCTTGAGACCAAATAGATGACCGTCAGGTTCCCCAGGTCTTGAAGGTCAGGCGCCTCCCCACCAGTTCCCATCAACTCCGGCTTCCACGGGACATCTCCTGCGAACAGCTCGGCGTCCCTCGGGTCAGCCCAAAGTAGTCGGAATGCTCCAGCCACGTCCTTCTTCGCTAGCACGACTTTGACCCCTGGGTACCTGGCCTTCAGCCACAGGATCCGCCTAGCGATCTGCTCATGAGTCGGTTGAGCTGCGGGAGGATGAAGGTCCTTGTGGGTTCCCCCGTTGACCTGTCGCTGGTCGTGAACCAGCCGGGCCTCTGTGGACAGCGACCGATTCGGAAGCATCTTGGGAACCAACTCAAAGGGCGACGACACGGTATGCTTCAAAGCAGGGTGGTTCGCAGAAGCTACCAAGACCCTGTGCTTGGCGATGTCCTTCATCAGCTGGACGTACACCTGGCCCATGTCCGCTCTGGCCCTCGGGTGGGGGCGAGTAGCCACCCTTTCTCGCTGCCCTTGGTACCGAGCCGGCATCCCTTGGGCACGAACTTCCCGAAGATAGGCAAGGTGGTCAGGGTGCAAAAGCCCGTTGAGCTCCTCACTATCTGCCCCTTGCAAGTTGTTGCGGCCCAGGTGCTCCCGAGCCACCCACAGCGCGATGGCCGCCTTCTCGACCGTGCCAGTGAGGTCCAAAAGCATGTCACCTCGCTCCCGAATCGTCTGCCATGCTCGAGCCTCATTCCCCTGGATCTTGTCGACCTCCTGGATGTAGCTCATTGCCGCCGTCGCTGCCTTGCCTGAGATGCCAGCCTGCTCGAAGTCGGCCCAGCTGCTGCCTCCAGCCCTGGTGCCCCTCCATGACCATGAACTCCATCCTTGCCACTGTCCCTGGTCGTTCAACCCCTGCCAGTCGGTGGAGTTCCAAGAGTTCCCGCCCCACTGCGAACCACCTTGTCCTCCTCCCGGGTGCCCTCCGCCTCCGCCAGCATCAGGACCCCCTGACTCATCAACGGGAACCTCAACCCAGGGCACTTGACCATCTTCGAATACGAACAGAGTTGCCCCCGTCCATGGTGCAAAGGGAGGTTGGCCGCGCCCTTGGACTCTCCAATCATCGTACACCTCGGCCACCTGCAGACGACCCCACTGATCCCTCGTCTCACATCGGGTGTACCTTTCACTGTGGAACCGATGAGGCCAGTACGGGTAGGGGAGCTCCTCTGGCATCACCAAGTCATTCCTTGCCTCGTTGGTGTGAACCCATACGTAACCCCTCTCTGCGTCGACCTCCATACGATTGCGCTGGCCAAGGTTCTGCCACACAATCCGAGTCCTGGGCTCGCTGTCCGTCTCCGCCCCGGGTTCCGTAGTGTTCTCCCACTCCTGACCCTCGACGTCCTCGAACTCTTCCCCATCCGGTTCATCACGGTGAGGATTGTTGACCTCGACACCATTCCACACACCCAGCGCCTCGTCGACCGCCATACCCGCAACCTGCTGCAGCTCCTGCTCGTTTAGGTGCCCAAGATCATCGACCTCGTTCTGGCCCTCTTCTGGTTCAATCTGGCCACCCTCCGGCTCCGCAGGCTCCTCCTCGTAGACGAAGTCTCGCCCATTCCAGCCATACGGGTGCCTTCCCCCGGTTTTCGACAGCATAGGTTGTGGTTTGGACCCCCCCCCACCAAGGTGTGAACCAAAGTCTCCACCACAGTGCGTACGAAGGCGTCCGCATAAACTCCAGCTTCCGTGCAGCGAGACACATTGACCCCAGGTCGATTGCCTTTGAGTGCGATATGCTGATGGCTATCTGAGACTCCAGGGCACAGGCGTAGCAAAGCTTGGCGCAAAGGTGGATGATGCGGGAAGGCTAGTCCAGTCCTGTGGCGGTAGAAATGGTCCGGCATGTCCGGGGGCCCTAGCCCAAAGGCGCACATGTCGATCTCAATGAAGTCGACGTCCGGTCGTTGCAAAAGCCGGCGCCATTGGGGTAGATGCCATTGCTTCGGGTATCGCCCCGAAGTGCCCGAGCTCTCGGCCACGGGGAAGCCACCTTGCAGGAGCGATGCTTCAAACACCTTCGCTCCATACTCCGACAAAGCATTGCCAACTTGTTCCTTGGCGGTGGGTTTTCCCGCCGGGTTCTGGAAGGTGCGAGTGCCTCCATTCTGCAGACACCAGTCGCAAAACGTGGTGCACGGGCTGGCTATCCACTGCACGTTAGAGTCACGAGCTCGGAGCCGGTTGAGGTAGTACTCTTGCCGTACAGGATCGGACAAGTCATGCTCCGGGCGGGGCCCAAGCTGTTGATGTGGTTGCTCGTAGAGCTCGATGGGATGTAGAGCCGTCTGGTTCGCAGCTCGCCAACCCTTGGTGATGACTCCATGGCCGGCAAAGTACTCCTGCAACACTAAGCCCTTGTGACCTCCAGCTTCGTGTACAGCCTCCCGCAAAGACCTGTGAGAGGGCGGGGAGGCATGTAGTCTTCCTCAGGCACCCCGTAGTCTCGGTGTCCTCGGCACTCCCTCCCTCCCTGCTTCGACAATGTCGGCAAGAGATCATCCCGGGAGCCGTTTTGGCTTGATCGCGCCGCTGATGCCAGAAATACCGAAACCCAAGACATGGGGTGTTGTACACCTCTTCCTTCTCCAAGAGTGCTCTTCCTTCTTCTAGCGAAGGGGGCTGGAGCAAAGTCATGTGTCCTTTTGAAATCATCACCCAAACATCCGAGGTCGACCACTGGCTTCCCGTCACCGTCTCAATCAGCAGGTCGCCTTTTGTAGTCCACTCGCACCACAACCACACGTATTTCCTCCATCGCCGCCAAGGGAAACACGGCCAAAGCTCGATAGTCCTTGTCGTGGTGGGGCTTCAAGATGTCATGGGCATACATCCTCAGCTCGTGCTCGACTGGGGCGACCTTAGTCTCTGGATGTCCCATCACGCCCTCGGCCTCCACTGCCAGCCTCGCTTGCTCCAGCCGGAACTCCTGCGTAGCTCTTTCGACCTCATCCATTGCGGGGACCTTCCCATGTTGTGCCAGATGAAGTCCGGCCGCCAGCACCTTCGTGACGCACTGCCTCTTCTCCTTCTCTGGCTCGATTACTCCCAGCAGCTCAGTCATATGGACCATCTCTCCGAAGTCCCACAGAGCCCACGGGGCGCCATCGATGTGAGCCAAAGATCTGCCTGGGCCCTCACCTTCCCATCGTGTGTCTTCCAGCTGACAACGAGCTTGGTGGCCTGCTTTCAGACCCTGCCCATAGGCCTCCAGTAAAGCTGCCGCCTCTGCGGCCAGTTCCCCAAGGCCGTACTGGACCATCTCTTCCATGAGCGTGTCGAAGGCGATCTCCGGGTCGTTGGCCACCCTTGTCGACGCCCAAGCATATAGGTCATCTGACGCCCCTTGGAGTTTTCCCAGGACTGGGCCCGAGGCTAAAGCTTGAGCCTTTCTCACCATATCCTGCGCCTCCGAGGGGGCAGTGGAGCCCTTCCGCCCCGCATGGGGTTTGGCCTCCCTTGGCACGTGCTCAAACAAGGATGCATCGGGGCCCGCCACCAAGTCTGCAAAGTCCTTCTCTTGTTGGGTGTAGTCCACCTGTACCATCTCTTCCGGAGCTTCCCAATGGACTTGGCCGCCTGCTTTCTCCGGACCTTCGGCATCCCCTTCTTTGGCTGGGTCTCCCTGTCCGGCCCGTCGACGATCTTTGCCATCCTGCACCTTGGCGGCTTTGTCCTTTGCCACCCCGGCTCGAATCTCCTTGATCTTCTCCGCGGCCGACTCCTTCGTCTCCGCCTTCATCCTCCTCAGGCCTCCTCTCCGAAGCATCTGGAGTTGCACCGCCGGATCGAGAGCCTCAAAGGGTCCGCGAAGTGGTTCATGAGCTCGTTGACAGCCCTGCTGAGAGCAGCCCAGGTGGGTCAAGTATCCCCAACACAGCAGCTTGCCCTCCTTGTTCGTTGGTGCTCGATCCTTGGCCCGGGTCGTCTCCTCCGCCGTCAGCTTCGGCCCAAACAGGGTTTTCAAAGTCGGCTTCTCCTCCCGGGAACCTCCGTCTCCACCAGCAGGTTGTCCTTGGGCTCTACTCTTCCCTGAACCCTCCCAGGTCATCTTCCAGAGCATCCTCTCCTGGCGCCTCTCAATGCGGGGCATCACCTCTGACATGAACCATCCGTCAGGACGCCGTAGATCGAATGTTTGAGGAAGAGTCAAAGGAGGTCGCCCTTCTTCGTCTGGCATGAGGGCGTAGAACTTCAAATCCTGCAAGGTCATGGACTCTCTTCCGGACAACCGCTTGATCTTCCTCAGCTCCTCCTTCAACTCCTCGAGGAATCGCCAGTGGAGCTCTTCCCACACATCGAGCAGGACCTGCAGGGGCCACTTGTGTGGTGCACTGACGTGCCACTCTCCCAACAGGTTGATGGCATGCTCCCGCACGGCCTTCCACTCCATGCCGTACACGAGGGCCCAGATGTCATTTTGTCGCTTCACTCTGTTGAGCCAGTCCTCATAACGAGTGGGTGCGGTTGGCCTCTGCTCATTTGTCGGCTTGCCTGTCCTACTCTCGATGGCGAACTGGTCCAACTCCGCGTCGGTGCAGGGCACAAAATCTGAAGCACTGAGGGCATACTTCTCCTGCGTCCCCCAGTATGGGCCGGCAATCCCGATGGCGAGCCGAGAAGTAACCTTCTGTCTGAAGCCTGCACTCCGAAGCTTTGTTGAGGAGCCGGCCTGAGCCGCGAGCAGCGCTTGCGCTAAAGGGGCCCCGTACTCTTCATTGCCGACTTGCACGGTATACTGGCCGCACCCACGCAGCAAAAATACCAGTTCTTCTGAGGTCTTGCCGAGGCTCTTCAATGATCCTCCTGCCCCTGTCGTGGTTTCCTGCTGGGCTTTGACCAACGTTGCAAGCTCATTCGTTTGCTGTTGGATCGCTTTGGCGATGTCGGTCATCTCTGACTGACCTCCTCGCTCCTCCGGCCCAGTCCCTGCCTTGCGGTCTGGATCGTAGATCCCCGGAGGGGGAACCGAAGCCAGTCTCTTCTTCGGAGGGGTTTCAGCTGGGCCTGAGCTCACTACTGACTGGGCCCCCGAGGTCATACTCGACGGTGTAGGTGCTGCTCCGTCCCGCTCCTTCTCGACTGCAGTGTGGTTAGAGCATGTTTTTAAAGTTTTTTGGGAAAATTT